CATCACCAGTTGGTGATGGCAGAGGGAACAGCAGTTGGTACAGCATTACCTGCCGTACAGGTAATGCTGTACCAGGTCTGTGGCTTAGGAAATATTGAAGCCACAGACAGCCAGGTCACTATAAGTTTGAGAAGTAGATTGGATATAGTAGCCCACATACAGTATTTCTGTTGATTATATGTATTGCCAATTGCAACAGATCAGTTAATTATTTTTCAGCACCAAAACCAAATAAAAAGTGTAAAGTTTGTCCACCTATGTCCCTGACCGGTTACCCACCCTTAATTTTTTGGGTAAAGCATTAGGGTCCAATTTTAGTCTGAACTTTTTGGATAGAGGGAAAAAGTTAGAAGGTTTTTATTAAATGGTGTAGGTGGGGAGCATGATAGGGTCCTAGTTGGGTGGGTTGTTATATAGTTTCACAGGCAACTCTCTAATGTACAGGAGCCTCTCTTGTAGTAAAGTGGTAGTGAAAAAAGAAGAGCTTGTCGGTCTATATGTATTATCCAGATCATTTCTTTTTAAAGTGCCAATGCATTTCAGAGGTTCTAAGAGGCCACCTTCATCAGGACTTGTGAATGCAAAAACCAAGGGGTGGACAATTGTAGTTGGATTGTTTGGAGAAAAACAATTGCTGATACAGAGAACCATCTGTTTTTAGTCTGGAATTTAAACTGAGCACAGTGGGCAGCCAAACTGGGCACTGGAAGCAGCCAAACTGGGCACTGGAAGCAGATGGATCTCTGCATCATCAAATTTGTACTGCAAGCTACAATCATCCTCAGCTTAGTCCTTTTCTACATTCCCAAGTCCTGAGAAGGGGGCTGTTCAAGACCTCTGAAAAAACATTTGCACTTTCTTTTACCAAATGCATTGATAAAACTGTTCTGGTTTTGGTGTCACTAGGACAGGAAATGAGGGGAGATCTCCCCAGTGACAACAACAATAATCTGACAGACGTTCCGACCCCATTCAAAACTAAAATGGATGGATGAATGGAGTTGGGCCTTTACCTAGTAAACCTTGTTCATAATCGTAACCCAACCCTTGGGTTGAACTCAATGGACAAGTGTAATGAATGTAAAGCCATGTGTACAGTCACTTTATCTGGCACCTATAGCTTACAATCCTGCAGAAGTTTCCTATATTGTCAATATGATTGATCTGCTTATGGTCTACATATAATTTTAAAATCTGTCATATCTTCTCAAAGTGTGTTTGTGTGGGTAACGCTCAGTTCTTTTTATTTGATAAATGAGACCAACTGCCAGATACAATGTTGGGCCCCCTGTATAAAAACTGCCTTCCATCTGAATAAAATTATGCTGGCTGTTTACATCCAGCTTTACATAAGCTGTGATTCTCAGCGTGCACTGAAAAATTCCATCCCATATTATGAAAGCTCGGTGCCTGCAGCGAAATGGGGAAGAGAAGGGGGAGGCTATACAAGCTTGATTTAAAGGGAAACTTCGGGAAAAAGGTTTGGGCCTCTCCACTTGCTGACCCAAAGCTCCTGGGGAAAAAAAGCTTGTTTGTTTAGTAGGGAAGGATCCAGGCTGGGCTTTACAGGTGTTTGCTGCCGGCTATTCTGGCTGCGGTCAGCTTGGATGAAGCTCGGTCTATGGGGGGGTTAGTGGGGAAAGTTCTGGATCTCATGTGTGTACACAGGAGGTACAATCAACAAGAATGCACTGTCATCTAAGGTGATCACTCTACCATGAAATAGTACACTTGTCAAAGCAAGGAATATAATAAAAACGGGTTCAATAAATAAACTGCAACATTCCACCCTTTTACTGGTAACTCGAAAATATGTTTTAATGTTTGATAGTGGTGATATATCACATTTATCACAGTTACTAAGAAAGTCCAATTGTTTACAACTTCAAATTGCTTTAAAACTAATACAAAGGTGTTTAAAGTGGTCCTGTCTACAGTCTTGTTAAAACTTAGCACCCTTAGTGCTTTTACAGGGTGCCCCTATTTTTTAGACAGAGTCACTTTAATAGGAGCACAAAGAGCAGCATTCTCACCAGTTTTATGTGGTCTGAGTGGCAAAAGACGATTTGTGATTGGTTGTTGATATTTGGCCAGTTGATCTTTGCGCCTACTCAAGTAGAAACTCCAACCAATATGGTGAGTGGGGAAGAGTTAGCATCACCTTCAGGTTTTTATCACTATCTGCCTCTCCACTGGAGTCAGGAAGTGAGTCCAAATCTGGCCAGACACCAGTAGAATTTAATTCCATTTTCCTAATGTTCATTCGACTTTCTAAAGGTTAATGGGGTCAAATCAATGATCAATTTCAACCATATTGATAGCAAAATTGAAGAAGCAGAAACTTTTTTCTCGAACATACGAAATTCTAACAGTGAATGTGATTTTCGTTCCGTGAAACTCCATTCAACATTGAATGCTAAAAAGCAAAATGTTGAACAACATTGGTCAAGTCTTTAATGGCAATATTGATTGTTCTGACAAGATTTTTCGTATGAACATTTATACAAAAATCTACAAGTGTAAGGCCAGCCTAACGCTCCATGATGTGAGGGGAGATCTCACCTCTGACAGCTGTCACTGGAACAGGTGTCTGCATC